AGCAGTGAGCAGGTGGGTGGTGAGGAGCAAGGGGTCCTGGACTGTGAGAGGGATCCCGGACTGCGAGAGGGTGCAGGCCGGGCTGAGGGACACCCTCCCCCCAGTGCACAAATTTCGTGCACTGGGCCTCTAGTGTTGATATAAACAACCCTAAATTTAGGTAAGTTGAGTAAAATTTAGTCACCTCCAGTTTAGTCTTGAGGACTCCATTGTTCTCATTGCAGTAGAGACAGAGGATGGTTTCAGATAGTTGGAGTACTCCTTGGATACTTGCTCTCTTTGTTGGGGTTTGGCAGGTTTGGTAGACAACTTGGACCATACAGGTGAGAATGGTCCCATCTAAAATTATGGGGTGATTTTCTCCCCCACAAACTTATCTGGAATCAGTTGTGTGCTGGGTTTTGTTTGTACTTTCTTATAATAGCTTACTGTTCTTGGCCTCAAGTCTGAAAGTCACTGCATGCAATGGTGACTTTGCTTTGACTCCAGCTGCTGCATGTCATTTCCAATACTTTTCTGTCTTTCCTGGCAAATATACAAGCATGGGTGGGCTTGAGAAGTTCTGTTATGTTCTGAGTGTATGCCTGCTTATACCTCTAATTATAAACTTGTTTAGAATAATGTAGCAGAGGACTCTGAAAGTTAATTCTAGTATTTCTGATCCTTGGATTTCTAGAAGGATGGTTGAACTGCTCTCTCTTTTGTTGTTGTTAATCTTCACCAGAGGATACTTTTTCCATTGATTTTTAGACTGAATACGTTCCGACTGGGGCGGGGACTGAACCTGCAATACAGGTCCATGTCCTTGAGTGGGAAACAAATCTAAGACCCTTTAGTGTGCAGGCTGACAGTCTTAACAACTGAGAAACACTGGCCAGGGCCTGCTCTCTCTCTTTCTTCTCTTGCCCCTCCTCATCCTATTATCCTGTGGTCCTAAGGATGGAAGATAGAATTTGTTTTTAGAGAAAGCTCATTATTCAAAGGAAGGACCCCTTGGTGAGTACTTTTGTTTATGCAATGGCAAGTCATATACTTGTTCATTTATCCCTGGAGGGCTCTAAAACTTGTGAAGTAAAGGGAAATGCCTCAGCTTGCGATATTAAGATTCCATTTAATTCTGAAAAAATCTGTCCTTATTTTTTTATTCCTTGGAGGAATTAGTTTGATATTTTTAAATTTTTGTGTGCTCCAAAGTTGGAGCAGTTTGGTGAGTGCAGCATCTGTGGACTTAAGGAGTGAAGGGAAGATTGAGGAGAACTTCTCTCCATGGAACAGAAGACTGAGGTCATGCAATGAGGTAGAGGGTGGGGGTGGGAAAGACATGGCCAATAGGGAATTCCCATGAAAGTACTGGACAATGAACATGAAGAAGAGTAAAATTTGGTATCCAGTTTAAAGATTTTCTTTTTCTGAATTGTAATTCTTGTATGCTACCCAAAAGTCTTTGATGTTAGTTAAGCATTATAGCCTATATATTCTATATGTAGAGGGAAATACAGATTTTTCCCCTTATGCCTGAATTCTGCTTTCTCTACATCTTAGTACATATACTTATTTCTATATATTTTTTCCCTTTAGCTTTGGATGCTTGTGTTTTTCTAACAGTTAATTTTGGTTCATCCTTTTGGGATAAATAAAATAAGAGGGACTTAGTGGTAGGAGCTAGGAAATAAAGGTAAAGTGAATGTTTTTCATGCAAAAAAAATTTATTGAGCACCTAATATGTGCTAGGCTCTCTTTCAGTTTCTGGAGTGCATACCTGAATAAAAGATCCCTGAACTCATGCAAGTATAGGAGAAATAAACTTAACCCTCAGAACTGGACTTCATTGTCTTTAGGAGCAAGAAAACTGAGATGTATAAAAACAATGCTGATGTCATGTGCTTACTATAATTTTATAGTATATGGAAGGACACTTGACTTTGGATGGTGAATGCATAATATAATATACAGATGATGTATTTTAGAGTTATACACTTGAAACTTGTATAATTTTATTAACCAATGTCCCCCCAATAAATTCAATAAAAAATTTTAAAATTTTATAATATGAATTAGTCATGAGCTGAGTAAGGGTCAGATAATTACAAGACTACAAGTCAAGTTATCCAAAGAATATTTTTAAAAAACATATTTTTATTGATTTCAGAGCAGAATGGGGAGGGAGAGAGAGATAGAAACATCAATGATGAGAGTCATTGGTCATCTGTCCCCTGCATGCCCCTCACTGGGAATTGAGCCCACAACCTTGGCATGTGTCCTGACTGGGAATTGAATCGTGACTTCCTGGTTCATAGGTTGATGCTCAACAACTGAGCCACACTGGCTGGACTATCTAAAAAATCTTAATTTTCAAATTACTCAAAGATATCTGGGTTCATAATGGGAGACTCCAAGATATAAAAGCAGAATGAGCCGAAACCGGTTTGGCTCAGTGGATAGAGCGTCAGCCTGCGGACTGAAGGGTCCCAGGTTCGATTCCGGTCAAGGGCATGTACCTGGGTTGCGGGCACATCCCCAATAGGAGATGTGCAGGAGGCAGCTGATCGATGTTTCTCTCTCATCGATGTTTCTAACTCTCTATCTCTCTCCCTTCCTCTCTGCAAAAAATCAATAAAATATATTTAAAAAAAAAAAAAAGCAGAATGATACTGAGCATTTGAATGGAGAATTTAACACTGAAGCAAATGACTTATGTGTTATTAGTAAAAATAAAAAATAAAAATTCAAGCACCTCATTGAGATGAGTAGGAAGATAGATTCTAAAAGAGTTCCAGCAAATAGTGAATGGTAAATGGAAATAAACTATAGAATATCAACTATCTTACATTTGAAGACATGTAAGTTATTGATATTTTCTTTACTCAGCATGATATCCTTGTATTTAATTAAATGACTACGAGGAATATTCATAAGGACTTATGTAGGTTCATTCTGATCTTGTTTTCATACCTATTTCCCCCTAAAGTTTTACGTTTTTAAAACCACATGTTTTTCAACCACAGAGATTTTCAAGAAGGAGCAACACCTCTCTTTATATGTCTGCCAATAGAATTTCTCTCCTCTAGCTGACCTTTTCCCATTTCCACCTGGGTGTTAGAGCTGGAGCAAGTCATTATTAGAGGGTAGGAACCAAGGTATTTGGAATTACTGTGGTTCAGACTGGGGAGTCAGCTCAGTTGTCACATTCAAAGAGCAGTAGCTGTGTAAAGTCAGGAGTCGGAAACTTCTAAGTTCAACCCTGGCTCCACAGGTGCTCAGATAAAATCTCACAGCATAAAAGAAGGTAGGTTCTCAAGATTAGGAGGAATTTTGAGTGCATCTAATTCAATGATCTACTATGTTTATGGTGAAGCTTCCTGAGCTCTGATGTTTGAACATCTCTCCACCTTGTTCCCGTGGGTATGTAGGAATGAATCCAACTTTAGTGTCCTTTGCCTTGAGACTTTTGGTGCTCTCTGTTCTCCTCAGCGTGAGCAAGATAGAACATCCTTGTCCAGTTATTTTCTAGTCCTTGTGGTGTCTGTGGAGTTTCCAGAGCCATACTGATACTCAGATGTCTGGAGCATGTTCTCACTGTGGCAGTTAAATTCTCTTTAGATCTAGTTCCTGGAAAAAATAACCGAAAGAGTGGTGGTAGAAGATACTCTCATCAACAAGAGTATACCCTATCTCAGGGGTAATTGTTCACTGTTACATATGTAGCTCAGGAAAACCTAGACATCTATAGGGCTGTATATAAGTGTGTCATTACTCTGGAGGAGAGGACTTGGGAAAGTTATGCGACCCTTTTTCTCCTGGCTCTCCTAATTTCCCCCACCTTTGTCTTGTCTGGTCTAGGGGTGGTAAATAGTTTGAATGTCACTAAGCCCCAGATTACTCAAATTTTTTTGTGTGATTCCCTTACTCCCACATCTTTGTAAATAGAAACCCTCCTCAAATTATCTTGTTTTGAGTGTGCCATATATTTTCTTTTGGGAAATCAGAACCATCCATATGCCTTAAGAGTTACTTGCATGTGTACTCTGGGGTTCAGGGCATTGAAGGAAATCAGTTGAAAGAAATATAAAGGCCAAGATCTTCATTAAAAAGTTTTTTTAAAAAGAAATTATGAAGGCATAGTTTGACACTCTTTTAAGAAAAGTCCCTAAGAAGTTAGACAATATGGATTTGGATGGGAAGTGTATTACACATAGAGGAGAGAGCTTGGCAGGCAAGTATTGGGCATGCTCAAGGAATGGTAGTAAAGCAGTGAGGATGGGAAAGTGAAAGGAGAGTAGAGATGTCTTGGGAAACAAGGTTTGTTGGGTCTAGATATTTTTTGGACTTTAAATTCCAGATTAAGGAGACTGGCTTTATTTTACATTATTGGAGAGTCCTACAAATTGTATGTTTCAGAAGGATACTTTTGACTATGGTGTGGATGAGGAGGGAAAAGGACAAAAGATTATTTAGGAATTAAGAGAGACATTCTGAAAGTAAGGAGACAGATTTTGATGTCTGAGCTCATGGGAAGAGTGAGGGACAGGAGGGAAATATAAATGATCCAGTATTTTCAGGTTTAAGTGCTTTTAAATGTTTGTGCCATGCACAAACAAAGAAACAATTTATATAAGTCTAGGGTTTAGGGACAGAAATAATGAAAAAAGGGCTAGGTCAAACATTATGTCATTTTTTCCTCTTTTGCATTTTCTGGCATAATATAATTCTGAAGAGGTTGACACATTCTCATTCTATTCAAGCTTTGATAAGGCATTTTCTTATACAACAAAATAGAGGTGGTAGAAGTAAAATATTCATATTTCTAAACAAATAATGTAAAACATTTTGAACCAGTTTAATGAGATGAAAAGATTATGAATCCAAAGAGTTCAGAAGTTTCTTCTAAATAGAATTAAATTGAGTTTAATTCATTAACAGTTTATTGAATGTTTGCCACATGCTGCAGTAGCTCAAAAGAGTGGTCGTGACAGTGATGTAGGTGGTTCCTGAGCCTATGGTTACTTATTTTCACTTGCAGCCCCCCGACCTCCTGCTATTCTCTTCAGAGCAGACTTCACTTCCTGGTTCCTCAGTGTATAGATGAGGGGGTTCAGAAATGGAGTGATAACAGTGTAAAACACAGCCACTGCTCCATCTAGGGGACTCTTAGACCCAGCCCGAAGGTAAATGAAAATACAGGGGACATAGTAGACTGTGACCACGGTTAGATGGGAGCCACAGGTGGAGAAGGCCCGCCGTCGCCCATCAGCCGTGCGTATCTTCAGGATGGCATGGACTATGTGGCATAGGAGGAGCAGAATCAGCATGAAGCAACTGGCAGCCACTACCCCAATGTCCACAAAGGTCACAAGCTCATTGACAGTTGTGTCAGCACAGGCCAGTCTCAATACTGCGGGGATGTCACAGAAAAAATAATCCACTTGGTTGGGCCCACAGTAGGGCAGGCGGAAAGTCAAGGTGGCTTGGATAGATCCATGGATGGAGCCAGCCACCCAAGCTCCAGCCACAAGAATGGTGCATAACTTACTATTCATGAGCATGGGGTAGCGCAGAGGCCGGCATATTGCCAGGTACCTGTCGTAGGCCATCAAGGTGTAGAGGAAGCACTGGGTGCTGCCCAGGAAATGAAAGAAATACAACTGAGCGACACAACCACCAAACGGTATTGCCTTGTTGGCAGGAGTAAAGTCCAATATTAGACGAGGAACAATGACTGAGGAGAGCCACATGTCCAGGAATGAGAGCACACCCAGAAGCACATACATGGGGCGAGCGTGGAGCTTTGGGTCAGCCCACACAGTGAGCAGAATGAGCAGGTTCCCTAGCTGAGTGAGGATGTAAATGATGAGGAAGACCAGGAAGAGGAGGATCCTCAGATTTTGGGGGTGAGGTAAGCCCAGGAGAATGAAATCTGTGACCACGGTGTCCAGAGATGTGTTTTCGGTGTTTCCCATGTTCTTTCTGTATTCTGCTAAGATGAATGGTGAAGTCAGACAAGGGAAATACAATACACGAAGGTGATAAGAATGCTTTTGTCTGATGAATATGCCTATGAGTTGTGAGAGAAATGGAATACTATTTAAAAACTTTGTTTTTTAAAGAAGAGATGGTGTTGCCCTTAGTTATTTTAGTTTACTTATTAAGAAAACCATCCAGAGGCTGTTTAGTTTCTTAGATGGATGGAAACTTATCTGTTGGGAGATACTGAGAAGCAGTATTTGGCTGATCAAGGAACAGTGTAACTTGTGACTGATAGGGAAGAACTTAATACTCCAACCAAAAAGAGTTCAACAAAGAGGGGCTAACATTGAGGCAGAACAGTGTGGAATGTGTATGCTACAATTACTACCTCTACTTCTCCCTCCATTTACCATCATTGCAATGCTTCCTCTTTGTGCTCAGCTAAAATCCCATCTCCTCACAATGCAAAAATATCCATTATCTGGCCCTTACCACTGTATCTCATCACTTTTATTTATTTTCCATTCCCCTTACAATTCAATGCTTCCTCTTTGTGCTCAGCTAAAATCCCATCTCCTCACAATGCAAAAATATTCATTATCTGGCCCTTACTACTGTATCTCATCACTTTTATTTATTTTCCATCCCCCTTACAATTTCTTGTTGTTGTTCAGATGCTTAGGACACCTAAAGGCTTTCCTAGTAGCATGCTCCCATGCACAGGCTGCCTTCTCTGTCCCTTCCCCTACATAATGCTCCCTTCATCACTTTTCCTTTAAAAGGCTTTCTTGATCCCCAGGGACCATGCTTACACTTTTCAGAGCATGCAACCCATTATATTGCTATTGCAAAATTTCTTAAGTAACATCTTAGAACATCCTTCTATCATTCTTGGTTAGAATGTCCATAATTAGGGAAAACACAAGAAGCAACCAATACATGCATAAATAAGGGGAACTACAAAATCTCTCTCTCTCTTTTCTTTCTCTCTCTCAAATCAATAAATAATGGTCCCATCTAGTACAGTACAGGTGATAATTATTTTCTGAATGACTGAATGGCTGATTGAATGGATGTTGCCAAATCCCACTCATCTGATACAGTGCTTCTTTCTCTCCTTGATCTTGTTTGCCGGTTCCTTGGCTCACCTGGCTGGCTAGGGACCATCTCATTCTAATGCAATATGGGTCTAGTTTTATTATAACAAACTCCATGGATCCTTTATGGTTGTTTACATTGATTGATAGATTTATGTGGTCCATTGGTTTGGGATTGGATTTTTTGGTACAGAGTTACAGAGGAATTATTATTGTTTATTATTAATGGAGGACTTGATCTTTAGTTTATATATATAAAGTTTGAAGTACATAATTCAGATGATAAGAAAAGATAGAGGGATAAAATGTGTTTGTTCCACTCCTTCTGTTGAATATCCCTACACTAGAGAGTTTGAGATACATTCATCTGTCATTTAATCATAAAATATCTTGTAATTTAAGTGACTGTTTTCAGGAAGCAATTAAAATTGTAAGAGACTTTTACCAATTTAATCTCCATCAGAAAATTATATTGGTTATTTTCTAAAATAACTTAATTCCTTTATCAACATTTAAGGTCTATCAATAGTAATAATAATACTTATAATAGGCTCTTCAGGATCCACAGAAAATGTTAAACATGCCCTTTGCCACAAAGGAAGAAAAAATACCAGATGTTTACTGCTTGAGTTTCAGGAGGACACCTTGGTTTATTTGAAAATGGGTGAGGTCCTGACGTGGTAGTTCACTTGGTTAGAACATCCTTCTATTATTCTTGGTTAGAACGTCCATAATTAGGGAAAACACAAGAAGCAACCAATACATGCATAAATAAGGGGAACTACAAAATCTCTCTCTCTCTTCTTTCTCTCTCTCAAATCAATAAATAAAAATTAAAAAAAGAAAATTAATGGTAAGACTATTTCTTATTTCTTTAGCGAGGGTATAGAAAAGAGACAGAAAGAGTTAAGATAAGGTTAGACATAAAATACCACTAATGAGCGAAAGTAATATTTTTGTCAATACATTCATATAATATCAATGTGTTTCTATTTAGGCAAATTATATATTCCTGAAGTGTTTTATAAATTTAATTGTATATCAAATCAGATAAAACTACCACTTGGGGGATTATTTGAAGAATTTCTATCAATATGCATTGATGTATGGTGCAAAAACTTCCCCTAATTTATTTGCTTTGCCAGTCTTATGTTTCCCACTTGTTGTGCATACATCCGATTCCACTTCTCCCAGGTGCCCTGTTGGAAGAAAGCTCCTTTACCTTCTCAGTTCTGAGTGCCCTGACTTGGTAGGACCAGGAAACAGAGGTGGGTTACAGCTGGTGGGTGTGAGGCTAGGTTACCTTTCCGGGCCGACTGGGCAGAAGATGGAGGTTTTGACGTGGGGCGTGGTGTTTAGGGGTTGCAGAGGAGGGCAGTCTGGTGCAGCAAGGTGATCAGAGTGGATATCCAGAAGGTGGGTTTTTGGAGAGAACAGTCTCCTCCCCACAATCCCTACTGTTCCCTCTTCTCCTTCTGGTAGATTCTTGTGTCCACTATGTAAATAATTTTAGAATATCTATCCTTAGGTAGCCAAAGAATTTACAAATTTTAGACTATTTGATGTTGCTAAAACCATGTAAAAATAGTTGGAATTTAAATATGAAAGCACATAAAAACAGCACGAGGTTAAAATTCAATATGAAAACTAGCTGCAAATAAGGGCCTACTGACATTAGAGGATAAACCATACTTGTTTAAAAAGCAATTATCCTGGAAACTCTAGGGAAAGGCTGTGGGGACAGGGTGAAAGAGTGGTATTGAGAAGATAAGGATGGGTTTGGGAGTTGCCAAGAGCACTTTTTAGAGAACTCAATGGAGCCATGGGATCATGAGATAGGCTGCTTTCTGTGCACTCTGTCCACGCACCCCCCCCCCCCCCCCCCCCCCCCTTCTCCCACTCAATTAGGCCAGTTTGGTGTGAGCATATCCAGCTATTTTAAACTTTTGATTTCTACAGTGAACTTTGGGATCTGGGCCATTAGGGAACGTTATGAGATCCCAAAGATGAGGAATGAAGACTGGTCCAGTGTGTGTTAGACATTCTAGATCAAAGGACTTCTAGTTATCATTGGGGAAAGACCCAGCTTCAATCTGTTTCTGGAAAGATTTCATTTAGTTAGAGACCTAGGTAGAGCTAGGGCAGAGTAAGGGAAATGGGTAGAGTTTGGGGTACCCTACATATATTTTATCTCTTTCCACAAGAGGATATTCTTGCCATTCTACCAAAAGCTTTAGAAAATGAGCTTGCTGAAGGAAAGGCCCTTTGTGTTCTCCTCACTGGAGACAGAAAAAGTTACCAATTTGGCCTGTGCTTACAGAATTACCAGGCTCTTCTTCACAACGTCTATGACTTTATCACTGCCCAACTTTGCCCTTTATCATTGCACTAAAGAGAGAGAGAGAGAGAGAGAGAGAGAGAGAGAGAGAGAAAATGAAAATATAGTGATAAGATTTATTTTTTTAACACACAAAAAAAGAAATTCCCTACATTTGGAAAGAAGAAACATAATTCTAGCAGTTTGGTAAAGAGCCGGTGAGAAGATGGAGAAAAGGAACTGGCTAAATTTATATTTGAATAAAATAACAGAAAAATTTAAAGTTTCAAAATTAATGGCCTCATTCTGAACGGAGCTGGTTTCAGGCTTGCTTTTCCATCCTCTTAGACTCACATGTACAGAGCTGCAAAATCGTGGAGGAGGCAGGCTGTCCTTGAGTGAATGGTCCAGCAGAGAGAGTGATATCCTTCAGAGATTCAGGTTAGCCAATTGCAAAGGGCTCCTGTGACTGTTTTGGAAAGGCTTTAGAATTCTTTCAGGAGTTTACCTGAAACAAGTGTTCAGAATCTCTGAGAGCACCTGCCTTTCAGGGCTCTTCGAAGAGTGTGATTTCTATATAGCTTGAGTCATATTTTACATTTGTTTTCACCAGCTGTTGCCTCTCTTACTCCAAATAATAATTAAAAAAACATTGTCAAGAGAGTTGAAGAAAAATTCTAATCTCAGGGGAAATTCTATTCTAAAGTAGTATTTCCCTAATGAGATCTTCCCTACCCAAATCTTTATTATTTTGTCTTGAGAGAGAACAGCAGCAAACATTTCTAGTAGGTCCCTGGAAAGGGGGCTGCAGGGAATAACCTTGTCAGTATACTAGTAGTTTTGGATGGCTTCCAGTTTCTTAGAGGTGATGTGAAGTCTCAATTGATCACTGTCTCCCCCCAAATATTTATCAGGGGTCCTCCATCATCCCTTCTAGTTTCTGTTCAGATGTCACCTAATTAGTGAGATCGCTCTCTCTCTATCTTTAATCCTCCCGCAAGGATATGTTTTTATTGATTTTTAGAAAGAAAGTAAGGTAGAGAGAGAGAGAGAGAGAGAGAGAGAGAGAGATCAATGTGACCGGGAATCAAACCCAAACCTTTTTAGTGTATGGGATGACGCTCCAACCAACTGAGTCACCTGGCCAGGGCAGTGAGATCTCTCTTGATCTTCCTCTTTTTCTTTCCCTGTGTTATTTTTCTCAGAAGCACTTAACACCATCTGACATATTATATTTGCTCATATACTGGTTTATTGTTTGTCTCCCTTCACTAGAATGTAGACTTCACAAGAAGAGGTGGGTTTACTCACTATGGAATCCCCAACACTACCACATTGCCTGGAACATAGTAGGGTCTCAAAGAAACCCCACACTTTTGAATAAATAAGAGAAACCACCACACATATTAAATGCTGTGACAGAAAAAAGAGCTGTGCTTTTAAATATGAACCTCCAATTTAAAGTTACCAGGTTTCAATTTGATATCAAGTTGATTCTCACATTCATTGCAGGTCTAGGTAGCATATACTAGTACAGTGCAAGTAGCTTTGGGTATTCATTTGTTTCTTTTACAAAAGT